GAGGAATTCCTTTCCGAGTGTGAGATTCAAGAATGAGATCCCAGAATCCAGAAGATCACAAAGATTCCTGAGTACTGGGAAGTATCAAAACTAGAGACAGTGAGACAAGAACTGCAGTTTCTAGTGTCAAGCAGGTATAAAATGCAACAAGCATCCAAAACAAAAAAGTAAGTTACTTTGCGTTGGCCGGGAATCGAACCCGGGTCAACTGCTTGGAAGGCAGCTATGCTCACCACTATACCACCAACGCCTCGCGGAAGTGCTTTTGGAATTATGTTTATAAGAGAAATAGAGGTTTAAAATTTGTCAAAGGTCTTAAATTGCGCCCTGACTCTGAGGCGGGAATACAGAAGCCACCCAGTGCCGGAGCCTCGGACCCCAAGGTTGAATGAGAAAGCCAGGGCTTAGCTCCACGACAGTTATTTTCCCCGCCTCATCTCAGCCCTGTTAGCCTTACAGCCGGATGTTCGCAGTTCCCTGAGACTCGGTACTGGATCCACCTGCTGTCGGATTTGGCAACAGACATTTGGGGCGAAGGGTGCTGGGGAAACAGATACTAGATTCACGACTGGCCTGACTCTGCTTCTCTAGAGGACAGGAGCGCCAGGGAAAATGGAACTTCGAGGTTTAAGGCGGTGAGGAAGTCGGAAAGAGCTGTTAGTAACAGTTTTATTTTTGCTGCTTTGCAAAAGAAAGGGGTGCAGGGAGAATCAAATTTTTATTTGAAACAATAAATAAACATTAATATGATGTTGCATAATGCTCCATAATGATCGACTTAAAGGGAAATAAAGGAACACTTTGGCAGTGTGTCAGGATGGCCGAGCGGTCTAAGGCGCTGCGTTCAGGTCGCAGTCTCCCCTGGAGGCGTGGGTTCGAATCCCACTTCTGACAAGATAGCATTTTGGCTCTGCAACTTTCTTTCTCTACCAAATTATTAACAGTTATTTTCTGGAGAAAATAGTGTTGATATATACTTAAAAAAAAAAAAAAATCCTACATGTTTACCTATATGAAGATTATTTGTGCTTTGTTGCAAATGTAGAGGTGAATCTARTTTTCTGTATTATATGCAGAAGACTGTTAAATTTGCAGTTGCAATTAAGATCTAAACCTGCCTAATGAGGAAGAATATTCTTTTTTTTTTTTTTTTTTAACTTTAAGACACCAATTTTCCTGTGCCTGTTTATCCCTTCCTTCATCCAACAACAATGTATTGAGATCTTTCTATATGTCAAGCACCCTGAGGAAGGCAGCTATATCAGTCTCTTYTGACTGAACAAGTGACTAAACAAAGAAAAGCCCATCATTTGCTATAGCAAATTAATTATTAATTGTAATTACCTCAAGTCTATTAATGTTAGGGCAATGGTGTCAAACTTTGGTGAACATGAGATTCTTATGTTTCTCCACTTTGCCCACACCCACCAATTTAATTCAATAGGTTACCTATTTCATACCAGGAAAAGAGATCACTAGATCAAATGGAGAAGTAATAGGAAAAATAAAGTCATGGAATTAGTTGCTTCAAGAAATCCTTTTTCTACAATTTCAAAAATAAACCACTTTCTGATTTGGGAGAAACTGTATGGAAAAAAAAAAGTTCTGTCCTTTTAGGAAGAGAAAAGAACTGTTAAGAAAAAGAAGCAGAATGTAAGAAGTTCATAAGGGCCAAGATATAAGGATCTTTAGCTTGATTAATGGAAGTTTGCCAAGCATAACTGTTATTTTAATAGACTGTGACCTTGGGGAAAGCATTTGACACTGCTGAGCCTTAGTTTGCTTCCTAGTAAAATGGATGTAGAATTGAAATAGCCTAGAACTCKTCAAAAAGGCAGATTTCAGGTCTCACCTCAGACATACTTAATTTGGAAAAAAAAAAAAAAAGGTCTACTTAATTTGTATTTTGTAAGATTCCCTCAGCTGATTCAAATGTATATTAAAATTTCAGAACTGGTATAATCTACATGACTTTGCACAGGTTGATCTTTTTTTTTTTTTAAAGAGAGTTTCTTTTTTAAAAAAAATATTTATTTATTTAGTTTTCGGCGGACACAACATCTTTGTTTGTATGTGGTGCTGAGGATCGAACCCGGGCGCACGCATGCCAGGCGAGCACGCTACCACTTGAGCCACATCCCCAGCCCCCACAGATTGATCTTCAAGGTGAAATACCCTTTCCCTTGCTTCTCACTAGGTCATCTTTGACTTAGTGTCATTTAAGTATTTACAATGTGTCAGACTCTGTACTTTCAAAAGAGGGTACAAAGTTAAATTAAGCACTGTGTGTGTTTTAGGAACCTCATAATGCATGCATAAGAGACATGTTTACAAAAATTTTAAAAGGCAGTTTTTAAACAAAGCTATTCAAGGTTACCATTAACCAAGTGTTCAAGGTTACCATTGCCAGTGACTAGTGACAGTGATACTATGCAGTCTCAATTTAATGTGATGATTGGACACTTYACTTCAGTAGTATATTCTTCCCCCAAAGCCTCAGTCAGATCTGAAAAAATATCAAACAAACCCAAATTAAGGGGCAAGCTACAAAATACCTAACTAGTAGTCTTCAAAAGTATTAAGGAAGGTCATGAAAAACAATAGATGACTGAGAAACTCACAGATTATAGGGACTTTAGGAGACATGATGTTAAATGCCACATTGTGTAACAGTAGTCCACTTTATGCTTTGAAAATAGTCCTTGCTGCTCTGCCAATGTGACTTATTTTTTTAAATGGACATGTTTCTTTCTCTTCCTCTCTTCCTGTTCCTCCCTAATCTCAGGGGAAATAGAATTACCTTTCTTCCCCATCCTAAGCAGAGTTATCTGTCCCTTGAGTACACACTCACCATAGGAATGAAGCAATCCAGACTCTGGGGATGGTAACAGAAGATTTCATAAATGACTGTCACCCAAAGTAACAAGGGAATTACAACTCCAGACAGAGAACATGTGGAATGTAGCCTTTGAGTCACCTCTTTAAAAGCCCCCTGTTCATGCTGATGGGCAGAATCACAGCCTTTGGGACAGGAGTCCCCTGTGTTTCTCTTTTGCAATCAAAGCAATAAACCTTCTTTTTCCTTTTACTCAAAACTGTGTCCTCGTTATTGGATTGACATGGGAGACAAGAACCGAGCTTTTGAATACACTAATATCAGTAGAAACCAGATAGTGATGTGATTAGAACTGTCTAATTGTCGGCCTYCGACAATATACTCCAGAGTCCAAGACTTGAGGTTTTGTTTAAAAAAAAAAAAAATGGGTAAAGTGACTTGATTAGAATTGTCTAATAAGCATACTTATTTCTTTCACATAGCTAAGATCAATCATTCCCCAGACCTATTCTAACATATACTGCCATGTTGCATTCAATGAACACTCAGGGGTCACTCCAGGGGAACTGGGCCACACAAAATAACCATACAAGAGACAGAAATACTTTTATCTTTGGGGGTGCTGTGATGGCTCTTCTGACCTTAAAGGTCCGCAGAAAGAGAGTGAGCCTGCTCATGCTCACCATTTATTGAGGAAAAGCCATTCAAATGAGGCAAGAGGCCAGGTTTCAGGGGACTGTGTCTAGCTTCATAATGTCTGCTGCCAGCAGGTTGACTGACATCTAGGAAGGCCACACCCAAAGGCAGAGTAAGGGAAGGGGACACACAAAGGGCATGTCCATGGAACATTGTATCCCAAACAGGGCAAGGGGTAATATCACAAAGGAACAGGTTAGTGTAGCTCAACCCATAKGGATGTAGAAAGGCACACCCATGCACAAGACACATTTGCATTTTCTCAACCCTAAAGATGGGGGCTACTATCTTTGGTTACCTAAGCAATCAGATCACAGGGTGACAGACAGTGCCACACCTATCAAAAGGGGAGGCAAATGCTGGTCACATGCTATGTCAGCCTTCCACAATATACTCCAGAGTCCAAGACTTGGGGTTTCAAAAAAAAAAAAAAAAAAAAAGGGGTAAAGTGACATGATTAGAATTGTCTAATAAGCATGTGAACTATTTGTCAGTGCTATTACTACATAGACTGACAAACTAAACTAAGCTCCCAATGTTACTGAAAGCTTGGCCTTATCCTAGATGCCAAGCCAATAACTCGGATATGATTTTGAGAAAAAGGAAAAAGATGTATTGCTTTGCTAGCAAAGGAGAAACACAGAGGACTCCTGTCCCAAAGGCTGTGATTCTGCCCATCAGCATGAACAGGGGGCTTTTAAAGAGGTGACTCAAAGGCTACATTCCACATGTTTTCTGTCCGGAATTCTAATACACTTGTTAATTTGGGAGATAGTCATTTCTGTAATCTTCTGATGCCATCCCCAAAGTCAGAATTACTTGTTTCTTTGGTGGGTCTATGCTCAAGAACTCTGCCTAGGATGGGGAAGAAAGGTAATCCTGTTTCCCCTGAGATTAGGGAGGAGCAGAGAGAGAGGAAGAGAAAGAAAAATGTTCATTTTAAAAACAAGTCACAGTGGCAGAGCAGCAAGGGCCATATTCAAAACATAAAGGGGACCACTGTTATACCAATAGAATTTATATTTAATTCTTAGGGTCACATATGAGAACCTTGCCAGTACTTAAGTTTCTATCCAGTCTCTGCCTTTTCAACTCTGTCTCCTTTACTTTTCCTAAACAACACAGTTCTCTGTCAGCACTTAAACTTCAGTATTGTTTTAATGTTTCTGCCTCACACTCTTCCCCTTATTCTATTTTCCCTTATAGAGAAGTTTCATACTCAACCTTGTGAATTCTCCTTGCATCTGGCCTTCAGCACCTGCCCTAACATCTCCTGCTTCAGAACCCAAGCTCCATCATGTAGAAAATTGGTAGGAAAGAAAACCAAGGAATTTTAAAAGTTTATTTAGATCTACAACTATTTTTCCCATAACAAAATCCATACATGCAGATAATAAACTACATAAACTGTAGGTGAAAACAATGTTAATGAGTCACACAAATGTTAGTAATGACGACTTCTGCCTGTTTGAAATGAGAAAAGAGAGTTTAAAAAGTCAAATGACAAATACCTCAGTTATAAAACATATTGAGAAGAAAGTTCCCCATTTGTGGGGGAAGACACTCYCTCACCCACTGAAGTTTCAAGGCAGGATCATAGAAGATAGCTTAGAGGGCCCATAAACCCTGGCCTTACAGTAACAGCTGACTTATCATGAGGGTCATTCAATCTACCTCCTCAATGATGGGGCCGGTATTGGGCCTCCCCTGTCGAGCTTGAGCCCCACAACTACTGCCCCCAGGGATACCAGGCCCTCCATAGAGCCTAGAAAAGATGGGGTGACAAAGTTGCTCCAGTTCCCTCTTCTGATGCTCATATTCCTCCTTCTCTGCCAACTGGTTGTGCTCCAACCAGGCAAGGACTTCCTGACACTTGTCTTGAACTTTGTGCTTGTCCTCTTCAAGAATCTTGTCACTAAGACTTTCTTCTTGCAAGGTGCCCTTTACATGGAAAACATAGGCCTCCAAGGAGTTTTTGGCAGTCACTCTGCACCTCTGAGCATCATCCTCAGCTTTGTACTGTTCTGCCTCGCGAATCATCCTATCTACCTCCTCCTTACTCAGCCGGCCCTTGTCATTGGTGATGGTGATCTTGYTAGCCTTTCCTGTGCTCCTGTCAGTGGCTGTCACACTTAGGATGCCATTGGCATCAATGTCAAAGGTCACTTCAATCTGGGGGACTCCACGTGGTGCAGGAGGGATGCCACTGAGTTCAAAACGCCCCAACAGGTTGTTGTCCCTGGTCATGGCCCTCTCACCCTCATACACCTGGATGAGGACTCCAGGCTGGTGATCGGAGTAGGTGGTGAAGGTCTGGGTCTGCTTGGTGGGGATAGTGGCATTCCTTTGTATTAATGTAGTCATCACACCACCTGCTGTCTCCAGTCCCAGGGACAGGGGAGCCACATCGAGCAGCAGGAGATCCTGCACTTTCTCACACGTGTCCCCCATCAACACTGCTGCCTGCACAGCAGCCCCATAGGCCACAGCCTCATCAGGGTTGATGCTCTTGTTCAGCTCCTTGCCATTGAAGAAATCCTGCAGCAGCTTCTGAACCTTAGGGATGCGGGTGGAACCACCCACCAGGATGACATCATGGATTTGGGCCTTGTCTAGCTTGGCATCCCGCAAGGCCTTCTCCACCGGCTCCAGGGTGCTGCGGAAGAGATCTGAGCACAATTCCTCAAAGCGGGCACGAGTTATGGATGTGTAGAAGTCCACACCCTCGAACAGGGAGTCAATCTCCAGGGTGGCTTGGGTACTGGARGACAAGGTGCGCTTGGCTCGCTCACAGGCAGTGCGTAATCGGCGAAGGGACCGCTTGTTCCCGCTCACATCCTTCCCATGCTTTCGCCGGAACTCCTCCACGAAGTGGGTTACCAGACGGTTATCGAAGTCCTCTCCACCCAGGTGAGTGTCTCCAGCAGTGGCCCTCACTTCAAAGACACCTGCGTCGATAGTGAGGACAGAAACGTCGAAGGTGCCTCCACCCAAGTCAAAAATGAGCACATTGCGCTCTCCGGCTCCCCGCCGGTCCAGCCCATATGCGATGGCTGCTGCAGTGGGCTCGTTGATAATCCTGAGTACATTGAGCCCTGCGATGGCACCTGCGTCCTTGGTGGCCTGGCGCTGAGAGTCATTGAAATAGGCAGGCACCGTGATCACAGCGTGCCTCACAGGCTGTCCCAGGTACGTCTCAGCTGTCTCCTTCATCTTGCTCAGCACCATGGAMGAGATCTCCTCGGGGTAGAATGACTTGTCTTCCCCGCGGTAGGACACCCGTACTTTGGGCTTATTGCCCTCATTCACTACCTGGAAGGGCCAGTGCTTCATGTCCGACTGTACAGTAGCGTCAGAGAACTTGCGCCCTATCAGCCGCTTGGCATCGAACACCGTGTTGTGCGGGTTCAAGGCTGCCTGACTCTTGGCAGGGTCGCCTACCAGCCGCTCGGTGTCTGTAAAGGCGACGTAGCTGGGAGTGGTGCGGTTGCCCTGGTCGTTGGCAAGGATCTCCACCCGGCCTTGCTGGAACACACCCACGCACGAGTAGGTGGTGCCCAGATCGATGCCAATTACCACTTCTCTTGGAGTGGACATGGCTATGGCTTCTCGAGCTCCTTGGAGAAGTTGGATACAAAGTCCGATGCACAAGGCTGCGGAAGTTAGTGCTGCTTAGCCGTGGAGGGTCGCTCGGCAGTTCTGTCCTTCTGTTTCTCTCTAGCCAGTCCAGTTGGGATCTACTCAGCTCCGCTTCCACCGGCTTTTTATCCCGTTGCGAGGGACCTCCCTCCCCCGCTGCCACGAACCTTCCCTCACCTTCTCCGCCAGTCGAGAGTCTCCGGGTCCCAGCCCGCCCGGGCTGACTCAGCAGGGAGGCGCCGCGCTGACTCGGGGAGAAGGTTCCAGCAGATTCGGGGAGCAAGGCAGGGCGGAGGGGGGCTAGTCGGTCCCATTGGCTCCTGACTCAGAGCTGCCAAAAAGAAACACTGGGAAAGTTCCAGCTTCTCCCGGTTGGTTCTAAAGGCTCTTAGCTGTGGCAGAAACCAGTTAAGGCAGTAATTTCCCGGACTAGTCCTCCCTGATATTGGTTGGAAGCAGATTCTCCTGGCGCGCAAGCTTGGGAACCGCGTTAGAGTTTCGTGGCTTGGAAAAGTCCCAGGCGAATAGCGCTACAGCCTTAAAACAGTGTTTTTAAGTTGTTGTCTTTTAGGTATTAAAAAATGTTTCTCTTGGAGCACGAAAACAAACATTTTCGAAACTGCAGGTTAAAGAAGCAGCACAGCTGTTTATGAAACATGTCCTGAAATTGAACAGAGGTGAAGAAGTATTGCTGCCACCTACCACYCACCGGCAGCATTGGTGGTTCAGTGGTAGAATTCTCGCCTGCCACGCGGGAGGCCCGGGTTCGATTCCCGGCCAATGCACAGTAACTTTTTGGTTTTGGTTCATTCTTTCCCCTCTGTATGAGGTAAGGTATGACACTTAAGTAGACGAAATCAGGTTATCCGAGATTTTAGTTTCTTTATATTTGGTTCCYGCTCCTTCGCTGGTGGCTGTGTGACTCTGAAGAGACTTCACTCTACTTGGGAGAATGCTGCATATGGGGTAGGAGGTGCAAGGTAGCGGGAACATAGCTTCTGTTGAGATCCGTCCTTAAAGTTAGTAATTCTGGGGAGCAACATCCTCAGAGACCAGTTGACAAGGGACACTGTGCGTTTGTCTCTGTGACCTAAGCGGGATCTGAGCCACAGCCCAGATTGAAGTGGACAGTAAATTGATGCAGGTCCCAGTCCATCCTTTGTCCTAAATGACTAGATGGGAATTGGGAGTAAATACACACTCATTCCCATTAGGTCTGTGGCTTTATGAATTGAGTCTTCTTCTTGTCTCACTTTATTTAATCCAGAACATTCTATCAAGACTTTCTGATGTTTGGACTTTTACTGAAAGCCAAAAGAAGATCCATTTCAAACACATACACTTGGAAATACTCTGAGGAAAGGGAAGATTCAAACTATCCTCAAAAAAAGATAACCTATGTCTTAATTCCAGGAAGGAGAGAAGCTGTCAGTTTTAAATCCATTCCTTTTCAGAGTCTAGGTCGGTCAGACCTGGAAGCCAGAGTCAAGATATTTTAACAAAGAGAGCCTGAAAGAGAAGGGACCTTACTTACCTCAAAAGAGAAAAGATAGCCTGGGCAGGCTAGGGGGGCTGTATCCCAGTCTGTTCAGGAACTCCCTTGTCTGCCTCATTCCTGGACACTGCCCACCCCCAGGCTTAAAATCCTACCTAAGGACTATAGCTCATCAGTAGAGCACTTGCTTAAACATGCCTAAAGCCCTAAGCTTGGTCCCCAGCATTACACACACACACACACACACACTCACACACTCACACACACACACACACACACACACACACAAAGAGAGAGAGAGAGAGAGAGAGAGGATTCTCTCCACCCACACACAAGAGTTGCAGGTATAGCTTTAAATTACATATACATGCTTCCAGTGTCGTTCACTTTTTTGGAATGGTGGTGCTAGGGGTCAAATCCAGGGTCTGGCACTATGTCCCAATCCCCTTCAGATATTTTTTAATTGATCTTTTCACTGAGTTTCACTGCATACACATAGAGGAATTTATGTATGCAGTACAAACTTAAACATATCCACTTACATTTAGWAATTTAGTTTGGGTATCTTTTAAGTAGAACAGATATTTAAGTAGTGACTTAAATGGACACTGTGAAGTGAAGGGATACTTATGACTCAATGTAGAATACAAAACAAAAGAAACCTGTGGAACAAAATGTATAGCACGATCCAAATCACTTATAAAGGTCTGGCACACTAACTGCCCATATGCTCTTTTTTTTTTTTTTTAATATTTATTTTTTAGTTTTCRGCGGACACAACATCTTTGTTTGTACGTGGTGCTGAGGATCGAACCCGGGCGAACGCATGCTAGGCAAGCGCGCTACCGCTTGAGCCACATCCCCAGCCTCGCCCATATGCTCTTAATGATATCATTTCACTTATCTGGACCACAGATTCCTTGGTTTTAAAATAAGGAGGTTTCCTAAGCATTTTCGTTTTTTTTTTTTTTTTCTTTAGAGAGAGAATTTTTTTAATATTTATTTTTTAGTTTTCAGCGGACACAACATCTTTGTTTGTATGTGGTGCTGAGGATCAAACCCGGGCCGCAGGCATGCCAGGCGAGCTCACTACCGCTTGAGCCACATCCCTAGCCCGATTTTCTGGTCTTAAGACTGGTTCTTGATTTCAAATGTCAAAGAATTTATTCACTCCATAATTATTTTAGTGTTTTATCATGTCCCAACTGAACTAGGCTTTGAGTAAATGGAAGTAAACAAAACAGACAAAGACCCCTCCTGGAGCTTACATTCTAAAGTGGGGGAGGGCAGGGAAGTAGACAACAAACAAGTAAACACATAGTATATCAGTTGGTGATAAAAGTACAATGAAGAAAAATAAAGCAGGAGTGCTGGGCACAGTGGGGCATGCCTATAATTCCAGCAGCTGAGGAGACTGAGGCCAGATCTAAGCCAGCCTCAGCAAAAGTGAGACACTAAGCAACTCAGTGAGACCCTGTCTCTAAATAAAATGCAAAATAGGGCTGGGGATGTGGCACAGTGGTTAAGCACCCCAAGGTTCAATCCCCAGTGCACCCCCCTCCGCAAAAAAAAAAAAGAAGAAGAAGAAGAAGAAGAAGAAGAAGAAAACAGGAGAGGAGAATTAGGAGTATGAGTATGGTAGGTGAATGGAGATGTCACTGATAAGGTGACATTTCAGTAAAAACCTAAAGGAATAACATTGTCTTAATCCATTTTTCTGTTGCTATAGCAAAACATCTGGATAGGGTGATTTATAAAGAAAAATGTTTATTTAACTCCCAGTTCTGGAGGCTGGAAGGCCAAGATCAGGTGACCAAGTCTGCTTAGCTTCTGATGAAAGCATTTGGGGCTCTATGCATGGGAGAAAAGTACAAGGACAAGTAGAAGCACTGGTGTGAGGATGCTTTAGGCCTAAGCCTAAGCAAGCAACTCATTTTAAAAACTCCAGTTTGAAACCTGTGTCTCACCAGGCACACCCACAGAGCCCTCCAGTATGGCCTCAGACAAGTTATTTCCCCTCACCCTGATAAACAGAGTGAAGCCCCTGGCAGGCTGTACTTGCCTGATAAGAGGGAAAGGCGAGAAGATCAGGAAGGAGACCACCACACCATATATTTCTGACCCCAGGGTAAATGATGTCACTGAGAAATCTGGTGATAGCTGATAAGGATTGAAAGGGGGGTCAAAAGCACCAAAATTTAGTATAAGTAACAGAGCAATGAACAGGGATTCAGCCAGCTGAAACAAGGATGGAATCAAGCTGGAGAGCCTGATGAGGACCTGTCATCCTATCACTTGTCATCATTCCTGAGCCTCTGCGAGATCCTCACCGCTCTCAACTCTACCGCCTCGTCTGGATCTTGGTAAGAGCTGCAATTCCTCCCTACGACCCACTCCTCAACCAGCCGTCCACTCCACACCAGTAAAAGTCTGCCTTGGTCCCAGACCTGATCATYGTGGTCTGAGTGAGTGTGCATCTGCTGGACATAAAGCCTAAAGCTTAAGACTTTTGAACTTAGCACACAGAGGGAATGTCTCTCATTAGCCTATCATGATTAAGTGTGTTTTGCAATGCTTAGAATTAATCTAGAATTGTTTGCTGTGAAATAATTAATCTAGAATTGTTTACTGCAAATTGATTATGTCTATTGCAGTGCCTAGCATTAAGGATTGTCGTTTTCTTGATTAAGAACCTATAGAGTGAAACTGTATTGAGTAATTTGAATGAATAAAGCATTGAAAGGGGCAGAAGTGCGTGGACATTCTTTATTTCTCCTCTCGACTGCATATGTTGCAATTTTGTCCCCTCGAGACAATTGGGAAGAGAGAAAACAGCTAAATTACCATGATAGCTAACATATTACTTTAAGAAAGTATTAACTCATGCATGAAGGCCGAGTTTCCATGACCCCAAAACATCTCACTGGACCCCACCTCCCAACACTAATACATTGAAGACTAAGCTTCAACACAAGTTTTGATGGGGCCAAACCATATTAAAACCATAACAGACATGATGAAACATGATGTAGGTATCTGTAAGGAAGAACATTTCTGAAACAGGAAATAATAGGCTCTGTGCAGAAGTATAATTAGTGTGTTCAATAAAGAGCAAAAATAATGAAGAGTAAGGAAGGAAAAACAGAGGGAAATAAAATCACAGAGAAAATGAGGATCAAGTTGTTAAGCATTTTATAAAACATTGCAAAGGTTTTAGCTTAACTCCAAGTGCAAGGGAAGCTATTAAATGTTTTTGAGCAAAGAAGTGACAAAAAGGTGGCTTCTTAGCTTTCAAGGAGGGGCTATGTGGCCTGAAGAGATGCTGTTGCAACTGCTGTTATGCAATAAGGTGAGGAGTCATTTTTCCTGAGGGCCATGGCACCATCTGACTTTGGGATCCTCCAGTTCTCCACTGAGCTTTGAAGATCTCGCCGAACAGAGAAATACATCCCTGTGTCCACTGCAAACAGGAGTCCCATCATCAGGAAGAAAGTGATTTGGTACCAAGGTAGAGAGATGTATGGAATTGCTGGACCTAGGAGGAGAGGCAGAGGACTGAGTAAYTAAAAAATTACAGAAACTTGGAATAAACAATGAGGTCCCTAGAAAGGAACTCAATCCAGAGGTTAAAGGCAAAGACAACAGCAGAAAGGGAGACCAGGAAGAATATCTACCTTTAGAGAATGTCTTCATATTTCTGCCTTCTCAAGTAAAGAACTAGATTAGCATTTCCTAAAGGGTTATCCTGGACACATCTGTCTGAAGTTATAGAGAAAAATATTTTTGTGGTCATATAGTTTGGCAAATGCCATATGAAACATAGTCTATGTGTTTTTTTCCAACAGGAGTTCTTAAGCTTTTAATGTGCATTATACGTATAAAAGGAGAGGAACACAGCATGTAGCATGTTCCACATCAATGTGAACTTCATTCCAAGAAGTCCCTCAAGGAGTTACATGGCTGGGGAACAATTTTTGGGGAACCTTGAATTAGGGAATCCACAGAGTACATCAGCCGATCTTCACTCACCACCTCCTCTGAACCTAGGACTGGGTAGCATTCACTGGCCAAGCTCATGATGCCTCTTGAAAAAACATGAGGAAATCTACAATGCAAAATATCTCAAGAATAGACAAAGGCCAACCAGGAGCAGTGGCACAGGCCTGTAATTCAGTGACTCAAGAGACTGAGGCAAGAGGATCAAAAGTTCAAGGCCAGCTTGGGCAACTTAGTGAGACCCTGTCTCAAAATAAAAAATAAAAAGGGCTGGGGATGTAGCTTAATTCAGTTCAAGTGCTAAAAAATTAATGATCTGGAAGAGATCATTAATCACTTCCCTACTCAGCCTTCTGAGGCCTGAAGCTCCTTGAATAACATTTGAAAAACAGAGTTCCCATACTTTGGACAGTGATGGTCACAGATTTTGATGAGTAGGGCGTCCTCCCTATACTTCCTCTGCAGTAGTAATCACCACTGTGACTGCGGTTTGCTGACGGGATGGAGAAGTTGACATTGAAATGGGAAAACTGCTTGGAATTTCCATTATGGTAGAATGTGATCTTGTTCAGAGGGTTGTTCTTCCAGCTGTGGCACCTCAAAACAATGGTGTCCCCCTCCTGGAACACCAGTTGAGAGGTCTGGAGCAGCAGCCAGTCTGAAAAACAAACATGGGAAGAAAAAGTTCTAAGTATACCTTAGCAGCCTCACCCTCAGGGCTTTATTACTCATAGAATTTGAAAGAATTCCAGATGGAGGGAATTGGAGATGTTTCATGGCAGATGTAAGCATTCTCATATAGGAAAAATATGGTGTCATGTCTATGGGACCTCTAAAGGATAGAAGTTTTCAGAAGTTCTGAAGATGAAGAGCAGATATTAAAAACAATTTTGAGGGCTGGGGTTGTGGGTCAGTGATAGAGTGCTCGCCTAGTACATGTGAGGCCCTGTGTTTGATTCTTAGCACAGCATATAAATAAATAAAATAAAGGTCAATTGACCAAAAAAAAAAAAAAAAGGAAAAAAACAACAACACAATTTTGTGCACTTTAAAACACTATGTTTGTGTAGGGAAATGAATGTACTTTATTAACTGTAGCAGTTAACTGAATAGAACCTCAAACCTTCAATTTATTATGGATAAATTTGTGGTCTAGGAATTACTAACTTCATGGTAACTTTTGAACTTTTTTTTGTTTCTGGAAGTGAGGTAGGCATCAATTAGCTGTATTAGTAATGAAATAGAGCTTTAATAATGCCAGCCACTCTGTCTTAGTCCATTCAGCCTTCCCTTACAAAATACCATAAACCAGAGTATAAACAACATGAATTTTTTTCTTACAGTCTAGAGCCTGGAAAGTTCAAGATCAAGGTGCTAGCAGCTGATATGTCTGGTGAAGGTTGTTTTCTGTTTGTAGAATTGAGTCTTATTGACACATCCTCACATGGAGGAAGAGGCCTCAAAGCTCCTATGAGCCTCTTTTATAAGGGCACTACTCTCATTCATGAGGGCTCCACTCTCCTGACCTAATCACCTCCCCAAAGGCCTCACCTCCTGTTATAATCACTGTGGGGTTTACAGGATTTCAACATATAAATCTTGGGAGAAATAAACATGCAAGAGTATAGAACACTCTTAGTATAATCTTACATCCACTAAGAAATGAAGAGGTATGAATTTTTGCATTCACTGTTCCATTGTGGCTCTGAACAAAAGGGGCACTAAAGAAAGCTTTGGAACTTACAATAACTTTTCCCTCCTTGTTTACAAACATCCTCACTCATTGATGGCAGAGTGATCAGATTCCAAAAATTCAGCCACTTCAGAGGACAAGTCTATAAAGGATGTTTTAATAGAGCAATTTTTCTTATAGAAAGAAATATCACATAATAAGAAATATTGTATCTTATTTAAATGAAAATTCACCTAAGAAAATAATATTCTGTATATTGAAAGGCAAGATACTGTCATTGAGACATCAAGAAACAGAAATCTAAAGTCAGGATTCTGTTCTTATTGCTGTTGTTAACTGCTGAAATTTTGGGTCTCATCAGCTTAAGTTTTTTGCACAACAGAGGGAAGGGACTAGGTGGTTTGTCCTTATCAAACCTTTGGATCTTACTAAGAATAACCAATAAAATAAAATTTAAAAAAGAAGAAAAATCAAACCTTTGTATCTAAGTTTTTGTTATCTGTAATTTTACATTTTCAAAGGAAGAGTCAGAAAGTAGTACTATTGACTGTTTCTGGAAAGATGAGGTACAAAGAGAGAAGATGGATAGCTGTGATGTCTTTGGGCAGGATTTTTAGGTTAATTCACTGTTTCCCTTTCACTAGAATACCATCAACAGAAAATGACTCTGACTAGTATAGGGGTCTCAAAGGTTCATAAAAAAATTGTCTTCTTAGCTAAGCATAGTGTCACAGACCTGTAATCTCCGCTACTTGGTTGGCTGAGGCAGAGGATCACAAGTTTGAGCCTAGCCTGGGCAAATTAGCCAGACCCAGTCTGGGGATGTAGCTAGGTGATGGAGTGAGCACACACACACACACACACATACTCACAAGCCTTCCTGGTATTAAATAAGAAAATCTAAAGCACTGGGATGCTTACATATGGCCATGTTCAGGGTTTATGCACCAAGGTGCAGTTGAAGTAAACTGCAAGGTAGGTATACTCATATTTCCAGAAATTGGAGGGGTAGAAGTAGTATTTAGGAGAATTTTCTGTATAGTATATTAAATTGAAAACTGTCAGATAGTTACATATATCTAAATAAGACTCCTTTAGTTAAAACCATCTCACGACATACACAAATGGAATGTTATTCTACCATAAAAAGAATAAAATCCTGTCATTTGCAACAATATAGATGGACATTATGTTAAGTGAGATAAGCCAAGCACAGAAAGACAAGCACAGTGTGATCTCACCCATATGTGGGGATGGGGAGAGTTGATCTCATAATAGTTAAGAATAAACTGGTCATTACCCAAGCCTGGAAATAATAGGAGGGAAGGAGGGATAGGGAGAGGTTGACCAACAGGTACTTAATAAGAAATTTTGGCATGCTATTGCACAGTAGGATGTCCATAGGTAATAATAATATACTATATATATTTCAAAAAGCTAGAAGAAAGGATTTGGAATGTTTTCACATTAATACATAAGAAGATAAACTGTTTAATCTGATTTAAACATTACATGATATGTATCTACATCAAAACATCACATGGCAACCCATAAATATATAAAATTTTTTATATTGATGTATCAGTTAAAAATTTAAATTAAAAAAATTATCTCACAGATTCTCATCTAATTCAGAAATAAAAAAGTCATTGCAACACTCTATCAGCCTCTACAGGGTCTGCCCTTTCTCTCCCCCTCACCTCTGGCCTCATTTTCCAAATTGGATTCTTCCCCTAGGGGGTCCAGCCTCTTGCCTCCTACAATTCTAGCAGAAAGAGCTCCTCACAGTTGTCAGGCCAGATCCCAGATTAGGGCCTTTGCAGGTCTATTGCCTCCAACCTCCATGCTTCCCCATACTGCTAGCAGAGTAGGGTGGTTTTACAGAATAGGAACTTCCTTTTGTTTCTTTCATACTCAGTCATTTGTCCATGGCCTCTTGCTCAATCAGAATGGAAGCAAAAATAGCCATTCCTAAACACTGAAGAGTTTGGTAATTTCCAGCTCCATCACACATATTAAGCAAAAAGGTGGAGGAAATGAGTGGGCAAAACCTACTTCAGGCAACTCACAGTAATGCTTTGCAGTAAACAGGTCACCTTCCCTTTCCTACAAACCTCTGAAAAATTAAATTTCATCCCTCCTTGTCCTCCCAGCACTTTCCTGGACTTTTTTCTACTGACCAGAAAACACGTCCAGATGCACTGGGTCGCTGAGGCTGGTCTGGTCCATTTGACACCGGTACTCCCCATTGTTATTGTTCTTGGCCTTAAAGTTGTAGCTGGGCTGAGTCTGGCCTGGGATGGGGCTCCCATTGTGGAACCACTGAGTAGAGTGGTTCTCAGGATTTCGGGTCCCTTGACATTTCAGTGTCACATTGTCTTCCTGTAGCACCTGGATCCATGGGGGCTCAAGTTTCACCACAGCCTTTGGGAAATCTGCTAAGGGATGAAATACAGAAAAGGATGTAAATAAATAGCTTTGGAGGGAGTTTGGTTTCAAAGGAGCTCTCAGAGGAGGTCAGGGGCCACAGAGTACTATTGCAGACCCACTTAAAAATCTATATACCAACAGCAGGCTCATTCCCTTGGGTCTTTGGAGAATCCACTGGGAATCTGGCAAAGAATCAAGTCCCAGGCCCTACTGAGATGAGGGAGCTGAACTCAAGCCTGATTCTTAGTGAAGCAAAGTAAGCAAAGCGTCTCATTATGACAAATGCTACCCAAACAAGAAAGCAGAGCAAACTCACCAGTTTGCCTGTCCGCAGAAGCTGTAAAAGAGAAGAGATCAAAGTCAAACAGCAGCAGACAATAAGAACAAACTCATTTGTGTGTATAAGGAGAAGGGCGGAGGGAGGTGATTTGGAGCTCCTTTCCCAAGGACCCATCTCAAGAGCCTAATTCCAATTAATATTCTATAAAATACTAATTTCTCATGCCCTCCTTGTTTCATCCTGTATATTTAGTGTGGTACAAAATTAGCATGTATGTTTGGTAACTTCTTAGGGTCTGTGAAAATACCTCTGAATTCTGACTTTATGACCCACCAAACAGTAAGAATTCATGGTCCTCAGATGAGGGAGTGGTGGCTCAGTGTTATAGCGCTTGCTTAATATTCATGAGACCCTGGGTTCCATCCCCTACCCAGCAAAAATAAATAAATAAATTTAATTTCAAAAAGAAAGGAGGAATTCAGAGTCCTCTCTTTCCTTTCAGACTATCCCCAATTTCTAGGCCCCACGCCTACTCCTAACAACCCCGGTCCCTAGAGTTCAGGTAGTAGGAATAGCTGAAATTATCCTATTTCAGAATGACCCCCACTCACCCAACAACAGCAAAATTGTCAGTGGTTGAAGCAGCCATCTGCTTCCAGGATCTAGGTTCTGAAACATGTAGGTCTCCAAAGTCATCTTGAGCTGGGCCAGAGTACAGTGGGGAGATTAACTTAGAAAAGAGGAAGGAAATTGTTTCATTTTTTTGTGCAGCTGTCCTCAGTCAGCAGATTGTATTTCTGCCAACTAATGAGGAACAAATTAAGCTAGAAGTGAGTTTGCTTTCCAGAGAAATCTATCATATATCCCCTGGTATCTTTATGAAAGCTCTGGGTTGTTGTTTGCTTGTGAGGAAACTGATGGGGGAAATACCAGAAGCAGAGTTGGGAATGGAACCCACATCCTGGGTCAGTTCAGTGTTATTTCCACTCCAAGTACAGAAAATTCCAAGGGAACTTTGGGACAAGAAAAAAGAGACCCATCTTAAATCTAACACCAAAGAATCAACATTAAATTAAAAAATAGGGTAGTTATCTGCAATCCAAGAATTATCTAAATATTCCACAGACAAGACATATCCCTGACCTGCATATATACAAGACACCTTTTTAAATGCAAGAAATAAATTTAGTAAGAAGGCCATAAAACAATTTCCAACATTAGGAAGATACTTTTTTTGTCTCTCTCTCTCTCTCTCTCTCTCTCTCTCTCTCTCTCTCTATATATATATATATATATATATATATATATATATACATACATACATACACACTCACTCTCTACATTCTTCTGACACTAAATATATGATTTTCCCCCAAGCCTAGCAATTCTCCAAAACCAGATGGAATTCTAAAACAATTTCCTGGGGTTAACATAAGATCCCACAGGTTGAGTTCTGAGTACCATGAAATTGCCTGAGCTTCAGATACCATTGGCAAGTCCAGGCCTCCTGTGCTTCTTCTTCTTTTTATTTTTATTTATTTATTTTTAGTTGTAGATGGACACCATACTATTTATTATTTATTTATTTATTTTTATGTGGTGCTGAGGATCAAACCTAGTGCCTCACACATGCTAGGCAAGCACTCTACCACTGAGCTACAGCCCCAGCCCCCTCCTGTGCTTCAGACTGATGGCTATAAATCAAAATTTCCTACAATACCCTCCTTGGGTTCTGTAATTTTCTGGAATGATTCACAGAACTCAAAGAAACAATTGCATAAGACTTACCAGTGTATTATATAATAAAAGATATGCTGAACTGCTACCGCCATTGCCACTGCCTCTGATGCTGCTACTGCCACCCTGAGGTCTCTTGGAGGTCTTCTTTCTGGGTGCTGCTGCCCTTGCAGCTGCAACCACCAGCTGCTGCCACAGAAAACACCACTGCCCTGGATACAACTGACGTGGATACCACTGCTGACCTCTGGACGTCACCCGGTGATGCTGCCCCCAAAGCTGCAGTTTCGGCCTACGTTGCAGCCAATACTGTAGCCGTCACTGCAGCCGCCACTGCTGCTGACCTGCTGCCATCAACCACTGCCACTACCACTGCTACCACTCCCTAGAGGACCGCTGGGGGGGAGACTCCAGGTTTGGTTGCATGTGGCTGCATCCAATTTGGGACACCAGCCAAGGCCTGGGGCCTGGGTTCCAGCACATTTACCACCCACCACAAGAGCCTCTGGGGACTCCAGCTGAGACCTGCAGGTCCAGTATGGGGGTACCTGTAGGTTTGGAGTTACCTGGGGTCTTTCTGTTGGGAGTGCTGATGGCTTTTGTCTTGGGTTGCATCTCAGGGTTGCTCCTTTTGCATGAGTGTATCCCTGCATCTATGCAAGTATCTATCCCTGTATCTCTGTAAGTAGAAGCAGCATTGAGATTTTGGGACTTCAGCATGGCCAAGCCTGAGGTATCTGAAGCCCAGATTGGTGGGATAGTGACTGGGTCTGTGAGGGCTGATCTGGGCCTGGTGACCCCAAGAGATGATAGACAAGGGTGAGAAACTTTTGAACAACAATGGAGACAKTTTGACTTTTCAGTGAGATTTATTTTATTTTATTTTTCAATTCGCTAATATCTCTACCATATTGGAACAGGGTGTTTTTATGCATCAGTGTGTGTGGAGGACAATGATATATGAATGATGTTTTGCATTTTGTTGTATTCTTATATCTTTAATTTTTTCTCTGTATTCTTCCTCTCTCTTGTCTGTTTTCTTGGATTTTTCTTTCCAACTTTATTCCTACCAACAGCCAATCATTTTAGCTCCTCCTCCACTCTTTCTGTGAATTTTTGCTTCTAGATTCTCTCTACCTCCCTTGGGAAAATTGTGTACTATGCTACCTCTGTTCTCTCACCCACCATTTGAAACTGTAAACCGTTTCAACAAATTTTCTATTTATATTATAGATAGTTATTGAACTCATCATTTTGGTTTAATGCGAGAAAGCAGTAGATGCCTTAGTGGGAGCTATTAGTTTAAGGCTATATATTGTTTACACTGGGTGTTGTTGATATTGGTTTCACCATTAAAGGTGAAGTGCTGGAAACCTTCAGGGACACTGTAGGTCTACAAAGTAGAATTTGTGCTGCCTTATGTCCATACTTCTGGATGGGAAAACACATGAACAACATGAAAAAACAAGGAAATAAAGTGCCCCAAACAAATGACAATGCTTCAACAACAGAAACCACTGATAACACAGTAGAAGAAATGTCCAAGAAGGACTTCATATTGTRCATATTTCAATTGATCTGTGAAGTAAAGGATAGTATAAGAAGTGAAATCAAAGAAAAAATACAGGAGGTGAAAAATCACTTCAATAAAGACAGATTGTGGGGGCTGGGGATGTGGCTCAAGCGGTAGCGAGCTTGTCTGGCATGCATGCGGCCTGGGTTCGATCCTCAGCACCACATACAAACAAAGATGTTGTGTCCGCTGAAAACTAAAAATAAATATTGAAAAATTCTCTCTCTCTAAAAAAAAAAAAAAAAAGAAAGAAAGAAAGATTGTGGGGTGGGGAGGAGGAAAGCAGAAATCCTCAAAATGAAGGAATCAGTAAGCCAAATTATAAATTCAATAGAAAGTGTCACCAACAGACTAGACCACTTGGAAGACAGAACCTCAGACAATGAAGATAAAATATATAATCTTGAAAGTTGAGTTGAGGGGCCAGGGTTGAGGCTCAGTGTTATAGCGCTTACCTAGCATGTGTGAGGCACAACTGTGTTTGATCCCCAGCACCACATAAAAATTAAAAAAAATTTAAAAAAAAACAAATAAAATAAAGATATTGTGTCTATCTACAACAACAAAAAATATTTTTAAAAAAGAAAGTTGAGTTGACCATGCAGAGATGATAATAAACCATAAACAAAATATTAAGACTTATGGGATAGGGCTGGGGATGTGGCTCAAGCGGTAGCGCGCTTGCCTGGCATGCGTGCGGCCTGGGTTCGATCCTCAGTACCACATACCAACAAAGATGTTGTGTCCGCCGAGAACTAAAAAATAAATATTAAAAATTCTCTCTCTCTCTTTCTCTCTCCTCTCTCACTCTCTCTTAAAAAAAAAAAAAGACTTATGGGATAACACGAAAAGTCCAAATTTAAGAGTTATTGCAATAGATGAAGGAGCAGAGATACAAACCAAAGGAATGCACAATCTTTTCAATGATTATATAAGAGCAGAAATTTTCCCAACCTAAAGAATGGAATGGAAAATCAAATACAAGAGGCTTATAGGACCCCAAGTGTACAAAATTACAGCAGACTTACATCAAGACACATTATAATAAGAATGACTAACATGTAGAATAAAGATAAAATCTAAGGGCTGAGGTTGTGATTCAGTGGCAAAGCACTTGTCTGGTACATGTGAGACACTAGGTTTGATTCTCAGCACCACATAAAAATAAACAAAATAAAGATATTGTATCCATCTGTAGGTAAAAAAATAAAAAGATATTTTTTAAAAAAGATAAAATCTTAAAGGCTCTGAGAGAAAACAATTAAATTTTAGATAAGGGGAAACCAATTCAGATCTCAACTGATTTCTCAGCCCAGCCCTCAAAGTTAGGAGGTACTAGAATAATGTATTTCAAGCTCTGAAGAAAATGGACGCTAACCAAGAATTTTATATCCAGCAAAATTAAGTTTCAGATTTGAAGATGAGATTAAAGTCTTCCATGATAAACAAAAATTAAAAGAATTCACAACTAGAAAGCCTACACTACAGAGCATTCTCAACAAAATATTCCCTGAAGATGAAGTGAAAAAAAAAAAGTGAAAACCAGTTAAGGAGGATCTAAATACACTAAAAGAACATTAAACCAATGGAGAAACTAAGTCAAATTAAAAACCAGAAAAAAATCAAAATGACAGATTAGATTAAAAAGCAAGACCCAACAATATGCTGCCTTCGAGAGACTCACCTCATGGGCAAAGACATCCACAGGCTGAAGGTGAAAGGATGGAAAAAAACCTTATCACTCATATGAGTTTCATAAACAAGCAGTGGTTTCCATTCTTATCTCAGATAAAGTAGACTTCAAGCCAAATTTAATTGGAAGAGACAAAGAAGGACCTTTCATACTTCTTAAGGGAAGTATATATAAGCAGAACATAATGAGTATAAATATTTATGCCCCAAACAATAGAGCATCTATGTATATCAAACCAACCCTTCTCAATTTCAAGAGTAAAACAGGCCACAACACAATAGCACTGAGTGACTTTAACACACCTCTATCACTACTGGACAGATCTTCCAAACAAAAACTAAATAAAGAAACTATAGAACTAAATAAAACAGTCAATAATTTAGACTATATATATATATATTCCATCAAAAAATATACTTTCTTCTCAGCAGCACATGTCTCATTCTCTAAAATAGACCATACCTTATTATTTTTTTTTTGTATTCACTGTAAAAAATTTATTGAGCTGTGCTGACAGGCCATACCTTATGACACAAACCAACTCTTAGTGAATTGCCGAGGTCCAGCTGCAGCAGAATAACCGGGGGTGACGAATAACTTGTGAACGTTGATACAGCAGGAGTAGGAGCGTTTATTGTAGGACAACAGAGGTATTTATACATTTTGCACAGCTTATCTTAATTAGCATAAACTAGATACATC